CGGAATTTCGGATTTTTATTTCGGACCACTTACAAAATCCGAAATATTTCGGAATTTGAAAAACAATTTCGCCCGAAGCTTTACTTTGTACTTTCCTATATTCTCAGGGATACAATTTAGCTTATTAGCTGTAAATTTTGAAACAACTTTCATGAGCGGATGAGAATTATACCTCCAGAAATTATGACAGATAAGTGGTACTTTGGTTTCGAAAGAGCCTATGCGTAACTTTTTATTACATGAGTCATGAGCTGGTCCTTGGTAGTTTCTATTTATATGATCATTATCTTTTACTTTTCGATTAAGTGCACTTAAAGCTTCTTGGTATTTTTTCTGTGCCTCTTTCTTTTTAGAATATTCCTTTTCCATGCATGATTCCCATTCTTTGATTTCTAATAAATTATGCTTTGCTTCTTCGAGTTTTGTACTACCTCTGGTGCTGGTTTTAAGAAAGGTCCCTTGCAAATCCAGCATTCTGTCGCCTCATTGTATGCTTTAAGATCTCCTGGTGACATTATTATTTCTGCAGGCACAGATAAGTCCTCCTGTATGTTTGCCAGCTCCTTCTCAATTTTACAACGAATCTTTTAAGCGCATCTGGACCCCTATATAAATCATGACTTATAATTTCATAGTTAAGTGAACTATCCATACGAACAACTACATAGCAATAGCTACACGGCTTGTGCATCTGTAATCTTTCGGTATGGGTTAACTTTGTCTTCTCTTCTGGGGTTAACTTTTCGGTTAGCATTTCTAGATCCCAGAAAATGCAATATGGATTTGGTTGCATGCATTTATGATTATAAAAAGCTTTGATACTCTTATTCTTAACTGGCATTTGTGGTCGCTGGGGCATTATTTAGACCCTTGCATTTTGGCAAATGTTCATTGTATCTTATCTCTGAAGAGTATACATGAAGACAATAACAGCAGAAGTATTTTCGCCCTTTATGTTTGCTATGATTGTATACTAGCTTATGTAAATCTTTGATAATACAGTAATGGCTTCTATCATCTTCTGTAATTACTAAAAGATTTACTTGCTTGTATTCATTCCCTCTTCTTTCTATAATATAGCGAAATTCAAGATACTCATTCTGGTTGTGCTATTTATAGATACATAGACTGATTTCAGAGTTATTTTCTTCGAACTTTTTATAAACTGGTGTTGAGACAGGTACCGGAACTGGAATGTCATTTATGTTAAGCTCCTCTACAAAACCTCTATATAGCTGATGTGGATTTCTCTCTGGATGAACTTTAACCGGATGCAAAGCTTCTAGAACACTTTAGCTGAAACACCAGTCATCATCATTTTGAATATTTATAATTCCATTATTACGTTTTGGCAAAGTTTTAGGTAAAGGTATATGGGCAGTAGGGCCAATCGGATTGAAATCAGATATCTCTATACTAAATTCTTCTATATATTCTAGGTAAGCATCAGACATTTGGTATATTAGTTAACTCTAACCGTCACGCTATTACTTGCTTATATAATTTTTCTTTAATTATTTATTTCCTATGTACCTATCACTTTTCGTTCATAGAAACCCTACCAAAGATAAGTATTTACAAGCTTTCTGAAGCGGTTCTAGCTATTGCAAAACTGAAGCATTAACTAATTATTAATTAATTTTTTTGATTCTAATAATAAAAAAGTAGGATGATTGGCGAATATTCTTGCCCATTTCTCTGCAATACCAGAAAGGCTTGTGGGAATGGTAGTACTAGGCCTGAAGGATATCGATTCCATTAGAAAGCTAAAAAACGGATACCATGTTCTGATTGTGGAAAGCCTACATCCTCTGCTTGTAGGCAATGTCCACTACATGTTAGAGGTTATTATGTTACCCGATACTATGATAGACTTTGACAAGAAAGAACTTATGTTAGCTGATTCTATGTTAGCCGATTCTATAATAGACTTCGATCAGAAATACAAGAAAGAAGTTATGAGGAAATAATGGATGCCTATAGAAATAAGCTTACAAATCTTAATATTTCTCTTTGCAGAGAATGTCTCCTTCTGATAAAACTAGAAGAGAGAGATTATTGTAATAGTTGTCAGCCAGAATAGATAAAGCAAAGATTATTTCAGCTAGCTTTATATCTTTATTCTAGCCAGAATTTTGGGCGTAATATCCAATAGGCATTTGCTAAATTTTCGTTAGACTTGCTTTTTATATTTTTTCGTTAAAGTTTTATGAGGCAGGCAGAATCATTAAATTTATTTATAGAGCAATAAGGACTTAGATTTAGCCATTTTTTAACATATCTCAAATATTAGATATACTATTAGTGTGCTAGTCTGCGCTAAACCCATTCTTGACTAAGGAAAAGTTAGGACAAAAATCTCGGTAGACTTATTTAATAATTATACTATTTAATGAGCTAGCTTGTACAGAAGCTATTCTTGTTTACAGAAAAATTCGTTAGATTTAATAAATCACGTAATTTTTGATATGCTAATTAATAGATAGACCCTTTTAAAAGCAATTATAAAATAGTTAGAGATATTCATAAATCATTAGACTTATTTATGATATATTAAATCTAACCAAAAATCAATATAGTTTATAGGTTTGAGAGCCTTCCAGAATGTATTCCTGATATATTAATAAATCTAACAAAAAATTAATATAGTTTCTAGGCTTTGTGAACCCCCAGAAAATATTCCTGTTATATTTGTAAATCGTTAGACTTAATAAATATAACCAAAAATCGATATAGTTTCTGAACTTCTAAAGCCTCTAAAATTGATTTCTGATACAAACTGTCACAAAACCCTCAGAATGATATTGTGTTTAGATATAATATAATTAATTTATTAGTTTAGAGTT